AAATTTCCAATGAAAAGTGACACCCAGCTTTTCCCTCACCCTGTGACCTCCAGGACAGAGCTGGCACCTGAAGATGAGACCCCCAGAGGACACCCAGGTGGGTTTGCAGCAGCTGGAGCCCTGCAGCCACAGCTCCCAGCCACACACTTCAGCTCCTCCTTTTTTAATCTTTATTTTCTCTGCCTCAAAGATCTGCAAACCCTCCGGAGCTCCTGCCCTCAGCCAAGGGACTCACGCTGGGTGCTCGTGACCTCGGTGCTCTGCCAAGATCCTGTCATTTGAGTTTAGGTGGCAATAAGGCTGAGGGAATAAAAGGAGGTCAGGCTCCTGCTCCCGGATCTGGCGGAAGAGCTGGCAGGGGGGAAAAGTACATCTGTCACCCACCCCGCAGTCACATCTCCACAAACAAAGGCAGGCAGGAGGGAAGGAGAGGTTCTTCTGTCTCTGTCTGCACTTAGAGAGGGAAAAAAACCTCCACCTTTGACAAGAGGGAAGATCCAAAGCACAGCAGTCGTGGCAGAACAACTGAGAGCTGCTTGTTTGCCCAGAGTGGTTTTGATTTACGGGTGACACCGCTACCCTTGTAAACCTGCTGTTTGCATGGAGAGGGAAGAGGGGAGGTTTTACACCAGCAGGTTTTATTTTTCCCTTCTTAAAAGCAAACTTCAGAGCATCTGGCAGCGGTGACAGCAAAGCTGCTGGGACCCGACAGCTCAGAGCGCTTGAGCTCACCCAGAGCTGCTCAGATCAAACCAAGAACCACATCAGGACGTGACCCCTCCCTGCATCCAAACCCTCTTCTAGCAGAGAGTTCTGGGGCATCCACCTCAGGTGCTGCCAAGAGCAGCCAGGGCTGTGGGGTGGCTGCACCCACCAAAGGGAAAGCAAAGGCCCCCCATCCCCTGCAAGACCGCCCTGCCCCGAGTGCTCTTACTTTTACAGGTGGGCATGGGCTCCCCTATGCTCCACTTGCCGTTGGCCTGGCACCTGATGACCCTCTGGCCCGTGTAGTAGTAGCCAGGGTCGCAGATGAGCATGAGCTGGGCGCTGTAGTGGTACTGGATCTCGTAGGTGAGCCTCCAGCGGCCGTGCTCCACCGCGATGCTGCCGATGTCGGGACAGGCCACGGCTGGACACGGGGGGGGCAGGGCCAGGGGGGAAAAGGGGACAGGAAAAGGTGTTATTGGGGTGTTTGATTGTTACAGTGTCCAAAGGAGGCAACGAGGATGGGAAGGGACTTGATTTGAAGCCGTGGGAGGACACTGAGGGCACTTGGTGTGTTCAGCTGGGGAAGAGGAGAC